TCACAAAAATATTAATGTCCAATGGTCATTTTCTGATGCTATTTTTCTATTTAATTAAGTTTTGATGAAAAATAAAAAATACACAATTATAGAATTCAAAAATACAATTTACATTCAATCAGTTTTGAGAAAAAAATTCTGAGCAAGACAACAAAGATATTTTACACCTTCTAAGAAAACCCTCTTCTCTATTGCCTTATGTGCTTTCATTGGTAATCACACTTGTTCTTGGAGATTGACATTCTACAGGCTTCTACAATTTGTTGTCTCCATTACCCAGGTGTGACTGTTCTTATCTTACTCCTTCATCCTTTATGGGTTTAGGAGGTGTTTTCATCCCTTTGATTTGTTCAGGGAGGTGTTCATCCCTAGTGTGATTCTAGGGAGGTGTTCATCCTTAGTGGGATTCTAAGGAGGTGTTTTTCATCCTTTGATTTATTCAGAGGAGGTGTTCATTCCTAGTGGGATTCTAGGGAGGTGTTCATCCTTAGTGGGTTTCTAAGGAGGTGATTGTCTTTTTAATTAGTTTACTTTTTACTAGTTCTTCTGCTGAGTTGATTGTAATTTGTAAACTGAATTTGAAAGATAGTGAATTGGGAGTCACTCTTGTGTTAAGAGTTGACTAAGAACTGGATATAGGGTTGACTATACCCAAACCAGTATAAATCATTGTATGCTCTTCTCTTTCCCTTATCTTTTTCTCTTTTCCTAATTATATTATCGCTTCCGCTTTATCTGTGTTCAAACAAATTATTGACTCACAAATAAATTTTTAATTTGACATCTATTTTAATTTGTGCATCTATTCATCCCCCTCTAGATACCATTTGTCTAACAAGTGGTATCAGAGCTTGGTTAAATAAGATATTTTTAAACGATCTGTCAAGATGTCTATGCAGAATCAGGTTTACAGGGAAGGAGCCTCAATAAACAGACCACCATTATTTGAAGGAGAACACTATCAGTTTTGGAAAGCAAGAATGAAAATATTTTTACAAACACTAGATTATGGTGTTTGGGATGTTGTACTCAATGGTCCTTACATTCCGATGAAAAAAATGGAGTCTGGAGCTGTTCCAAAGACCTTTGACCTATGGACGTTGGATGAAAACAAGCGTGCCTAATATGATGTAAGAGTTCGAAACGCCATTGTTTCTTCCTTAACTCGTAATGAATTTTTCAGGGTCTCACAATGCAAGACGACAAAAGAAATATGAGACACTCTTGAAGTAACACATGAAGGAACAAATGAAGTAAAATGAGCACGTAAGAACACATTCATCCAGGAGTATGAATTATTTTAAATGCAGTAAAATGAAAGCATCACGGATTTTCAGACACGCTTCACACATATAGTAAATCACTTGAAAGCATTAGGAAAAAGTTTTGACGATGAGGATTTGAACACAAAGATCTTGAAATCCTTAGACAATAATTAACAACCAAAGGTCACTGTTATTATAGAATCAAAGGATCTCACAGAAATGAATATTGCTACTCTATTTGGAAAGCTGCGAGAACATGAGATGGAGCTACAAAGGTTAAAGAATGGTGAACAGAATCAAGCCAAGACGATAACTCTAAAAGTAGAAAAATCTTCACAAGACGAAAGCGAAAATGAAGGCAAGTTTTCAGATTCTGATATGTCTCTTTTTGTTAAACAATTTTCTCGCTTTATGAAGAACAGGAAAAAGAGAAAGTAAAGAAAGGAGAAAACAAATAAATACCATTACTATGAATGTGGAAAACCTGCCCATATCAAACCAAACTGTCCGGAACTTAAGAAAGATGTGAAGAAAGGGAAGAACGGTATCTATAAGAACAAACGCAAAACTTATATTGCTTAGGACGATAATGATTCTTCCACAACACAAGAGAGTTCTTCCGAAAGCAGTGATGGAGAAGAAGAAACAAATCTTTGCTTGATGACAAAAAGTGATGATGAAGTCTCGTCACAGGTAAGCAGTACAAAATCCTTAAATGAATATGATGAGTTGTTTAAAAAATATCAAGATATGTATGAAGGTTTTACCAAGTTATCTAAGAAATACAATGCACTTAGACAAAAGTTTGATACATCAGAAAATATTGTTGGTATTCTTGAAAAAGAAAATGAGTGCTTAAAGAAAGATGTTGGAAAATTTAAAACTTTGTATAAAAATAAAGAAGTTGCTAAACCCTGTGAAAATTGTAATCATTTGGAAAATGAGATTTTCAAGTTAGAGAAAATAATAAGCAAGTTTTCATAATCTTCTGAAAATCTTGATTCTATATTAGGTTATCAAAGAGGGAATTCCAACAAAGCTGAATTTGGTTACAAACCCAAAGAAAGTCTAGAACCTCATAAAACTATTTTTGTGAAAGAGTTAAGGAAAACATATGTGAAACCAGTTTCAAAAACTTTAAGAAACTCATTTAGACATTTTCAAAGAAAACCAACATGTTTTTATTGCATGAAAATAGGTCATACATCAAATGGATGTTACATAAAATATTCAAGCCCTTCTTAACTAAGGTATAAGATCAGTTATCCTATGGAAAATATACTTATTCTTAATTTGTTAAATTAACTATAGTCTATACACAATCTTATATTTATTTATAACTTTTATAGTTCTATACTGTGGTTACATTTAAGTATAGAATTCAATGAAAATCAAATGGACAAGTTGATTATTGGAAAATCAATCATTGAGAATTTTCATAATTTCTTAATTAAATTTATACCATTTTGATAGATTTAATTATATTTTTTATTGCTTCTTTCAAATTGAATGTTTTCATTACTATTTTTAAGCCTTAAAGCTTTCGTAGAATTAAATTTAATGCTTTGATTTTCTTAATTTCATTATAGCTTGGATTAGTTTAGGTTTAATGTTTTTCATTAACATTTCATGACATTTCCTTCTTTTTTTTACAAGTTTAATTGCCTTATTAGGATTAGGTTATTGTTTTCCATTAGTTCATAAGTTTATTGCATTACATTTACTATTTTCTATACCTAAACATATAATTTCCCTTAATCCTAGTTTTAAACAAGAGAAAGTCAAGGTCTATAACACAAATATCAATACTTCTTGAGAATAAAATTTAATTTACGTCTAATATTACATTACTTCTTATATTGCATTCTTTGATTACGTATAAATGGTAAAATGTGTAATGATCAATGTACAATAACAACTAAATAATTTATAATATTTGCACTAATGGGTAAAGAATAAGAAAAAAAATGATTATCAAGAAATTCTCTACTAAGTATTAGATTAATAAGGATTAGATTTATAGTCTTCTCAATTTTGCTCAAATGATCTACCCGCTGTTTCTAAGCACCATTCTTAAGTATCCATTAAATCAAATTATGATTTGACTTCTTCAATGAAATTTTTAATATTACATCATCAAAATAAAAAAACAAATAAAAACAATTTATTTAATAAAAAATATCTAAAAACTCCTTTTTAATAATGATATAATCAGCTTGAGTTAAAAAAAAATGCAGAAAAGCCATAAGCCAAACTTAGAATTTTACGAACTCGTTACAATAAAATAACAGTATATAGTGAGATATATCACATGTAAACTTAAACTGAAGCTTCCAATCAAGTAACTACAAAATGTAGATCAATGATCATTTACTTAGCAATTTTTTTACAGGAAAAATCGGTAGGCAATGTAACTTCAAATAACTTTTATACGAATTTTCTATCCATAAATAATGTTAATTACCTATTGATTCACATTTATAGGTAATTTACTATAATAAAAATGGTAAGAAATATATCTACAACTAAAAATCTATAGGTAATTTACCTATTGTCGCCTACTCCTTTCATGATTATATTCTATTTTTTACAATGGTTTTTAGATATTTTAACTTTTATCAAATTCACAAACATGTACCTTTTGTCTTTATTAATTAGTTATAATAATAAATAAATCTTAAAAGTTAAATCTTGCAATAATAATGTGTTTTAAGAACCAACTCATGATATTTATCCAATTAAATTAAATAAACATAATATTAATATTTGTCTAAATTAACATGATAATATTATAAACTATATTTTTTAAAATAAAATAAATATCTCTAGAATATTGTAATTTAACACTTCCTAAAAACTTCTATTCAACTAGAACCATCCATTATATAATATTTATCCAATTAAACTAAATAAACATAATATTAACATTTATTTAAATAACATGATAATACTCTAAATTATATTTATATTTTTTAAATAAAATAAATCTCTCTAGAACTTTAACACGCAACATAAAAACTTCTACTTCAACTAGAAACATCCATTAACTGTTATAAATAGATGGTATACTCATAAATAATCATAAAATATTTTTTATATTAATATTATATATATATATACCTTATTATCACTAAATTCATCATCTATATATCAATTTTGGCTCCTTTTATTATGTATATAAAATATCAATATATTGTCAAATGCTTTCATTTAATCAGTCATGACAGTGTTGTAATTTAAAGCATAAACTTTTACCTCTTAATTTTAGTTTCCAAAAAAGTCTCATATTAATTTTTAAAAGTAAAAGTTTCCCATTTAATTTTAAAACTTTAAATAAGTTTTTAAATTTAAAATAGTTATAATTGTTAGTGTAGTCTATAAACCTTAGATAACATTAAAATTAAATCATAATTATTTTCATTTTAAACTATTATAGTTATAGTTATAAATTAAAAAAAAAAGTAAAAAGAAAACATATAGTATATTTTCTATAGATTTGTCCTGTATAAACTTTTTACATCCTCATAGATATTTACTTAGACCGTAGCACGTATATTAATATATTTTTTTTAATGTACAGTTAATATCTGGAAAAGATATGTAGAAAACTCATAAACACATGAATAAAATCATGTGATGATAATAATGGAACATGGTAGGTTACAAATGAGAACAGAAACCGAGAGTAGATGTTGTGGGCCCAATCAAACTTAAATTCATGATTTCATTTGTAACATGAAAGTAAGTGTGCCAGAAAAACAAGATAGGGCTGACCGAGGCGTGACTCGGCCTCTGTTGGCTTTTGCGTTAGGTTTACTCGAAACCGAGTTTGCTGACAAATTTTATATTTATTTTTTTATCATTTTTTTTATTTTTTATTTAATTACTACTTAATAAGCATTTTTTTATTGTATATTACTGGTATTTAAAAATCACTTATATGATTGATTTAAGTAAACTTGTGGTAGATTGATGTCACAATACTATTTTCAAAGTGTTTGTGTTAGTTTAATTGTATTTTTAATTTTTTTATATCATAATGAAATAATAAGTGTTTTTCAAGTTCTAATAATAAGTTGTTTTTTTAAATATGACAAGTCTGAAATTTTAGCTTATTAAATTAAAAATTAGTTAATTAGATTCCACCTTCTTGTAACTATGTAAACTTAATTTTTTTCACTAATGTTATGAAACAATGTTAAATCAATTGGAATGTAAGATTAAAATAGTACATTTTTCATATAGAATAAATTTAACTAGTACAATTAGAATATCAAAATAAAAGTGTAATTTATGTTTTATATCCATAAAATTCAAAATTGGATTTAACTCAAAAAAAGTAAATTATTTTAACATTTTTCAATAATCCACGTCATTGCCACGGCGAGAGCACTTATCGAGGTACTAATGGGACCCACATGTTCCTTTTTATTGAATTGAGATTCGAAATTTTCAAAATATCTCATTTGTGTTGGCCATACCGGAACACGCAGGTGCATATTTATTTTGGACTCAACTTGGTAACCATTATTACTCTTATTATAATGGAATATGAAGATACTAGTATTCACATATATTATTGTAGGTTTGATACTAATGTTTTTTTTTTAGTTATTTTTTTATTAAACTTTCTCGAAGTTTTCAATGAATATTTTGAAAATAAGAATTCGGATCCGAATAAATTAGTTGTAAATATTTTTATAAAAACTATGAGAAAAATTAAATTATCTTTTTCATAAAACTTACTAAAGTCTAAATGATATGATTCAAAATTTCACTATAAGAGCTTATTATATTAAGAACCATTATTATACAACATTAAAAATGTAATAAGAAAAGTATATAAGGGTAAGTTTTCATTCAGTGGGTGCACACAGATTGAGATTGTGGATGGTGGTTGGTACTTGAATAAGTCAGACATATGAACATGAATGAAATCATCTTGACCAACACTCATTTTTTTTTTTAATATTAACAAAGTCTGAGTGAATCATTCTCTAGGATCAATAGTGCTGGACCTCGTGCAGTTAAAAATCAATGCAAAGAAGTTAAAAATGTTCTTATTTTATTACTTTTCATCTTCCTTCTTCTATGGTAGATAAAGAACCAATAACATAGCTAAAAAAAAGTGATAGAAGAAAGAAAGTGTACTATTATTTTGAGTGCTTGAGGAAAAAAGTATAAGAGAAAATTATAAAGTGAGAGTAGATAAAAAAAAACATACTTTTATTCTTTTTGTTTGTAGAAAATTTTAATTACTTTCTTAGTTGTATAAATTTTATTTTTTATCCGTTATATTTAAATATATTTAATTAGGTTTTACATACATTATTAATTTTTTTAATATATATATATATATATATATATATATTGTTTTAATATTGCTTTAGATTTTGTTGTTTAAATTTACAGAAATTACAAATTTAAATAATATATAAATATTACAAATTAAAATTTTAATCAATTATACAAAAAATGTGTAAATTAATTTATTAAATTTTTATGTGATATGAATCATTATTTTTATTTTTGTATACAAATTTAAATATTATATTAGAATACTTAAACTTCACGAATTTAACTAATCATTTACTATTATTTACATTTTTTATAAAATCGATTTTTTTTATCACTAAAATCATATAATTAATTTAAATAATTTAAGTAATATAAAACAAATTATATTTTCAATAATAACAATTATAATATTCACATAATAATTTATGTTATACTAAAATTAAATAAAATATTTTAATTTATTGATTAGATAAATTTTCTGACAAATATAAGAAACTTTTCTGGATTGCGACTTTTAACTGATCCAATTTCATATGAACATGCAAATTACATAACTGAGGAAGCATCTTAATTTCCAAAACTTGATAATCTTTTTACAGAACTGAACATAAATAAATCATGCCTCTCAAATAATTCAGGTACCCGATAATTAATGTGTTTTCCTCTCATGATGAAATTATTTTGAACAAGGGACTATAGCTAACAACAATATAGATTCAATGAATCACCAAATTTAAGATGAATTATAGAGAAGAGAATACAAAAATATAGGGAGAGGATTCAGATATAGAGGAGATTATCCCAGCAACACTTACTAAATTGCAGGGGCTCTAACCCAACCAAAAAATTGTTACAAGCCCCCCATCAAAGCCCTCCACAAAACCAAAAAAATAATTTACAGAAAAAATAAAAATCAGTAAACATGATAGGAAAAAACAAATGGTATGGTACTGCTTTACTGCACTGTTATGCTCATTCTGCAAAACGGCAAAACAAATAAATAAATGCCTTCTTTGGCAGCTTCAATATCAAATCAGAACAGAGAGTCCTGCATACGCCCGCTGTTTTTACTCGCCGTGCTCAAAACCCCAGAAAAATCATCAACCAAATCCTCCAATTTCTCTTGCTTGGGATACAAGAGTGAAGAATTAAGTGATATTTCACCAATAGAGGCCAAACTTTTCAACTCGGATTCTTCCAAACCTTTTACTGGACCAAAACTACACCTTTCATTACCATGCTTTGCCATGGCATCCTTAAATTTCTTGATCTGTGGCATAATAAAATAGACATAGAATAAAGTCAAAATTGGAGAAAAGACAAAAAGAAAAAGTAGCAGATGATGAGAACAGTATGAATAAAATTCTTACAGTCGCATTGGTGCAGCTGAAGCTACAAACTCGACCCTCCGCACCTCTATAGAATCTGAAGAAGGGTAACACGTGAATGCGCAAACCGTGACACATGGTTTTCAGTTCCTCGTAATTGACTTTCAGAAAGATTGCTTTTGGGTACAATTCAGCTATTTGACAGATCTGGTAACATGAAACCAAGTCAAATGTTGTAACCAGAAAAAGAAGAGGAAAAAGTTGCAAAATTGAAGTATTTAGTTGGTAATATGACTAGAATTTTCCAACAAAAACACATACCTTTGGATGAAGGGCTTTGCAGCCTCCACAACCAGGTGAATAGAAATCAACCACAACCAATGAATCACCAGCGTTGAGCAAAGCATGGACTAGTTCTTGTGCTGAATGGATCTCAATCATGTTAGGCTTTTGGCTCTTTTTCCACCACATCAAAGCCTTGCTTATACAAATTGTTGTTTGTGCCTGAAATAAAAGATACATAGCGTAATAAGTAAGTATGATTGGGAAGCAAAAAGCTTAGATACCCAGAAAGCAAAAGTTCAACATACATGAACAGGGACATTGCTAGAGGCTTTTGAACTGTTATACCCCAAACCTTTTTCATCGAGGGCAACAGATTCTCCCGTGAAAGCATTACTCAAAACAGAGCAACCCCATGATTTTGCTTTGTCAGTTTTTGAGGAACAAGGAACCAAAGCCCCTTTGGTTTTGGAGCCAAGCACGCTCTCATTCAATTCAGAAACACAGAAAACACTCTTCAAGGAACATGCCATGACTAGTATGAACTCTGAACAAAAGGATCTTATTCGTCAACCACAGATCATGAGATGAAATGGGTGTATTTTCAGTGATACTAGTTTCAGCTTATTGACCAAAATCAAAGTAAACAATTTTCTCTGTTTTGGGATCAAAACAATGAAATTGCGGAGCGAAAATTCCAGCTTCGCAAAGACGCCAAGAATGTTTGATGAAGGTCTCAGAAACAAGAAAGAGGACACAAAAGGTGTGGCCTGGTAATCAATGAATAAAAGCTAAAAAGCGCAAGCCTCAAAGGACAAAGAGTGTTATTTTCTTGTGAATGGTTTGATGAGACTCATGAGAGAGATCAATGGTGGTGCTTTTTAACTTCAAACAGGGAAATGAAATTGTGGTTGGTGGGTCTTTTCTGGGTGGCGTTGTCCATTTTATTGTAAAAGGTAAAGAATTGATTGATACAACAATAATAGATAGTAGTAAGCTTTATCCATTTTCATTTCATATGATTTCTTATACTGAAAACCAAAACATTATCCACATCCACGCTATCATTTACATTTATTGAGGATAATTAACACGGGCCCTAAGCAGTGCCTGCATTGCTGCCAGATGAGTTGTCCCACACCATATCACATGTGAGTCTCTCTTAGATAAATAAAAAATAGAAGTGTTGTTAAGTTACTATTTAGTTTGATACTGTTTGTGATTAGTTGACTAGGCTAACTGCAAAGCACAAATTATTCACGAAAGATTATCTTACTCTGATTAAGATGATCATAGGCATTAAAACCAATGCTTAAAAAATTAGCTCGGATCTGGTAATCTTACCGGTGGTCAAAGTCAATCCATTTTACTATTGGATCGGATATGTTTTTGGGATGATATAAGCTAAAATAATTTGATTGATTTTACTAAATAATCAATGAATCCGAGAGTGTAATTTGATTTGTTCACTATGTTTCACGAATTTAATTGAGAATGTGCATTAGTTCTACAAGAGAGACACAGAGAGTGAAAGAAAAAAAAGAAAAAGAGTGAAAATAGAACCACCGGGAAAAAAAAACCAAAAAATTGAGATTGAGCGAAAATGTTGAAAAAAAAAGTAGAAATTAAATTTTAAGACTTTTAATTGAATGAAAAATAAGTTTTATTTTAATTAATAATATATTATTTTTATTTTAATAAAACTAATTATTATTAATAATAATATTAATTTTATTATAAATTTTTATTTATATTATTTAATAAATCTAAAAATTACCATTCTCATAATATAATATATTATATTAAAAAATATTTTTTATTAATAATAACTGTAACATATAACATATATTATATATTATAAAATCATAAGATCCATATATATATATACATATATATAAACTATATTATATTTTAAATTATTTTCGTTTTATTTAATTATTTTTTATTAATATTTATTTTGTATAAATAATATAATCATAGAGATTAATTGTCCATTCACATAACGTATATTTATAATAATATATACCAATTTTTACATTTCACTTTACTATATTCTAATTAGACAGTTTTTGAAAGATTAATACTATTTTAAATCTCTCAAGTATCAACACATATTATTTATAATTCTTCTATCAACACCTCATCACTTGATATCTTAGTCTATGTGATAAGGTTATAATTAAAACTTAGGATTCCATTAAATTCATACAAACATAATTGTCATACTAACATAATATAATACTCCTTGATACAACTCTCTTATTTTTATATGTTACAGACTAACTTGTCTCACACTAATTAAGTAATAAATATCTTGTTGATTTTAGGCACCAACCTCTCAACTCAATGTTACATGTATTGACATTGGATCTTAACCCAACTTTATTCACCACATAGTCCATTTCCCACAATAGATGTATATTGCTTAAACATCCTATGATCACTTGAGTAATATATTTCTAGTATCCCACCTACTAAATTTTATTCCTTTCTCGTTTGAGTGACAATGTCACTTTCTTTGAGTGCCCTCATCCATGATTAATCAAAGTACCTTTGGAAGAAGTCATTTATACTATTTAGTCTTTGCTTGAGTATCATTTTGATTGTTTGAGTGACTAACAAACAAAATTAATTCAATTTTGTATTTGTTAGTATTTTGCTTGAGCAAAATACAACATAATTTTCTTCTTTAGTAAGTTTTTTTGCTTTAATGCCCACTTATTACTAATAAAATCCTTATCATTAATAAAATTTTTATCATATTAATTATCTCTCTTTTGTGCAAATCTCACTTGAGCATTGTTTAAGCTAGACACTTATAATATCAATTATCTTTCGCAAAGTGATATTTTTACTTTAGCAACATAACTCTCACTTAAGTGAATCATCACTTAGTGGCTCTTCACTCAGGCAATAACTTGTTGCTTGAGTGAATCATAATTTTTTGGTCACCTCTTTCACTGATTGACATATCACTAAGCACCTAACACACAACTTGAGTGACAAGAATAAAAGTAAAGAAGATTACTCCCATTTCAAACATTTTTCGACTTAAATATACAACACATCAACTTATCTGTATCACATCTACATACCATAAACTCAGTATAACATCTTTATAACCTAAACATGCATTTCTAACATGCACTCATAATTCAAACATGCATTAAATATGTTACTACTTGAATATTTAACCCATCTTACCTATATATTCCTATAACTTAGCTTTCCCAGATAATTGTGCAACCCACGTTTAATTCCTCCACTTCACCACTTGACACCTTCAATTCCCTCCTCTCATTTTAGAGTTGGCTACACATGATGTAAGTTAACACTCATTGTCCATTCAAGTGTCGTAATTACAAGGTGTAGTTAGTTATAAATTAAAATCTAGACTAATCTACTCATTAAATTTCATGGACTTGTAGGTGAAGATCCATAGAAGCATTTAATACCATGAGACTTGAAAATATGTTTGAAGACTTTGTCAAGATGAAGACATTTTTACTTTGTGATGCTATCAAGGATCGACTATATTTGCATCCAACACCTATCACCACATGGAATGACATTGTATTAGGCAACTACAACAATAGAAAAAGAAAAGAAAAGAAAGTGGTATTAGGCAATTCTAGGGATAGACAATGTATGAGTATTGGCATAGATTTAACAAGATGTATGTAACTTTTTCAAACCATCAAAGTGATGAGAAACTTTTGATCTAATACTTTTATGAGGAACTAGTGCTTATAGAAAGGAACATGATTGTCCTAACTAGTCATGAAGTTTTGATGGATAAGACACCAACAATTGCAAATATTTGATTTTCAACATGGTAAAGTATCCCTAGTAATTCAGTTTCAAAATCATGAGCTCTAGATCTATGAATGAGGTTATTTAGTAGCTACAACATATTATCATAGGGTAAAAAAAAATAAAATAATATAATTAACCTCCTTTATGAAACAACATGAGACAAAAGGCAAAAGTAGTGCAATAGCAGATGACCATTATACATATGCATTCCCGCATCTTCTGGAGATAACTGCAACATCAACTGAGGTAGTGCAGGTATATTTCCTAGACCACAAGATTTTGTCAAACCACCAAGATAACAATATAATCCATTTTCCAGATAAACTTGGATGGAGAGATCATCCTAACCTTAGATATGGCCAAAGTGTTTGGAAAATTAATCATTAAATATGATCTTCAATCTAACGATCAAATCTAAAGTAATCCCATACTCATAAACATGTTGTAAACTAAATGCGAAAGCGTACCTGAATTAGCCATAATGATGATGTCCCTTTTAGAGCACTATTGATCTTATGGTCTTCCACCTGAAGAGCACCTGTATTTCCCTCTTGATTTTCTCTCTTGATGGGGATAGAAAGAAAAGAACGGGACTATAACTACGTTCTGTCTACGTGCTCCTAGAAGGGGACCATGACCCCTTAAAATAACCAAAATTAGGTTAATTACTTAAGTTTTAGTATTTCCAATTTGACCCCTCATCAAATTAGAAATTGTTCTATGGTCTCTACACAATTTTATTTTCATGACATATGCCTTTAGCCAAACCTTTTTAATTTAGTCAGATCACTTTATTATTTGACTTAATAAATAATGACCCTAACACATTTAAATATGTATCATATATATACATGACCCAAATTTTGCCAACAATCTCCCACTGGTCACAAATATATATGTCCTTACAACCTCACAAATGTGTTAGACTTTATGAGCTCAAAATTGTCATTATATTCCTTTAGCATATTCCAAAAGTCCTGTCCATTAATCATATCAGGATATAGAACCAAACCAGCTTTTCATTGCATCATCGCAACTAAAACCAACAATGATTACTCATCCTGACATAACCAAATGACATGGATTCATCATGAAATGTGTAGCATGAAAAATTACGTGAAGGTGATCTGTACACGTCTATTTTCAACTGGTCCAAACTTTAATTTATCGAGATCGATATAATAACCTTAATGTACAAAGTGTAATGAATGAACAAAAACCACATACTATAGATAACCAAATATGTCCAAAAAATCAATGTATACATATATAAAATTAAACATAGAACATAAAATATATGAAAATGACTAACTCCCACTAACCACAAACTCCTCAAACTGTAAAACACCCATGTGAGCAACATGCTCATGAAAGACCTTGGGCGGAAGTCCTTTAGTTAGAGGATCTACTATCATGGAGTTTGTCCCTAAATGTTCTATGGAAATCTGTCCACTCTGTACTCTTTCCTTAACAACTAGGAACTTAATGTCGATGTGTTTTGACTTAGTCGAACTTCTGTTGTTGTTGGAATACAATACAACTGATTTGTTGTCACAATATAACTTAAGTAGTCTTTCAATGCCTTTCACAAGTTGCAGCCCTGTGACAAAATTTCTCAGCCATATTCCATGATTCGACGCCTCATAGCATGCTACAAATTCTGCTGCCATAGTGGATGAAGTCGTAAGGGTTTGCTTGACACTGCGCCAAGAAACCG